TTCTTTTCAAATCCTGTTCTCCTGACTTCAGGTTCACCGATTTTTGCACCGTTGTGCCAGATGGCTGTTAGTGGCCATAATGGCCAAATGTGTCGGCTAGACACAATTTCCATACAGTAAAACTCATCCTTTTAAGAATACAGCTGTATTAGGGCTGACAAATGCAAATAATCATGTAATTACCACAATAAAGACACAGACAAGTTCCATTACCCCCCAAAACAACCTCATGCCACTCTGTAATCGACCCTACACACCCCCACACAATCACCTTCACCATCAGCCAAACACTGATCTGTTTTCTATCTCTGTACAGTTGCTTCTCCAGAATGTCGTAATGGGATCGCAGCCTCTGACTCTGGCTTATTTCACTCAGCATAATGCATCTGAGAGTCATTCGTGCTGCTGCATGGATTGGAGCTCACTCCTTTTTATTGCTGAGTCGCATTCTGCCATCTGGATGTACCACAGCTGCTAATCCATTTCACCAGTTGAAGGACAAGTGGGTTGTTCCCAATCTGGGGTGATTATAACTAAGGCAGCTGAATATTCTCATAAAGGTTCCTATGTGCGCATGTCTTCATTTTACTTGGATTGATGAGCTGTATGTTAAAGGTATGCTTAACTTTCCAAGAAATCATCAAACTGTGTTCCAAAGAGTTCATACATTTTAGATTCTTATAAAAAGTGTATGACAGTTTCAACTGCTCCGTATCTTTACCAATATTAGCTTTCAGTTTTAGTTTTTTAATTTCAGCCACTCTTTTTTTGTTTTATTTTTTTAAATGTTTTATTTATTTGACAGAGAGAGAGAGAGATCACAAGTAGGTAGAGAAGCAGGCAGAGAGAGGGTGAAGCAGGCTCCCTGCTGAACAGAGAGCCTGACGCGGGACTCGATCCCAGGACTCGGAGACCATGACCTGAGCTGAAGGCAGAGGCTTAACCCACTGAGCCACCCAGGCGCCCCTAATTTCAGCCATTCTAACAGCTATCTAGTGATATCTCCTTGTGGTTTAAATTACATTTCTATAATTGCTAATGATATTGAGCAACTTCTCATGTACTTTTCACCACCCATATATCTTCTTTGATGAAATAGTTGCATTCGGGACGCCTGGGTGGCTCAGTTGGTTAAGCAGCTGCCTTCGGCTCAGGTCATGATCCCAGCGTCCTGGGATCGAGTCCCACATCGGGCTCCTTGCTCATCAGGGAGCCTGCTTCTCCCTCTGCCTCTGCCTGCCATTCTGTCTGCCTGTGCTCGCTCTCTCTCCCTCTCTCTCTCTCTGACAAATAAATAAAATAAAATCTTTAAAAAAAAAAAAAAGAAATAGTTGCATTCAACATTTGCCCATTAAAATAAAAACTGGGCTGTTTTCTTATTATTGTGGGCTTTTTATTTTTTTTTTAAGATTTTACTTATTTGTCAGAGAGACAGAGAAATAGAAAGAGAAAAAGCACGAGTAGGGGGAGTAGCAAGCAGAGGGACAAGCAGGCTTCCCGCTGAGCAAAAACCTGATGTAGGACTTGATCTCAGGACACTGGGATCATGACCAGACCTAAAGGCAGACACTTAACTGACTGAGCCACCCAGGCATCCCTTATTATTGCATTTTAAGAGTTCTTTACATATTGTAGATATAAATCCATTATCAGGTATGACTTCTGCAAATATTTTCTCTCCAGTCCCTGGCTAATTTTAAAAAATGCTTTTATCAGTGTCTTGTGAGAGCAGACATAGCGGAACTTTTAAAAAGTCTATTTCATTAATTTATTTCTTCATTAAAGGATCAAGCTTTTACGGGTATATTTAAATCTCTGGCTAGGTCACAAACATTTTCTGTTTTCTAATGAAACTTTTATAGTTTTAGGTTTTATATTTAAGTCTATTATCCATTTTGAGTAAACGTTTTTATATTAAACTAACACGAGTTAAGGGTTCTTTTTGGTATTTTTTTTTTTTTAAAGATTTTATTTATTTGACAGACAGAGATCACAAGTAGGCAGAGAGGCAGGCAGAGAGAGAGGAGGAAGCAGGCTCCCTGCTGAGCAGAGCCCGATGCGGGGCTCGATCCCAGGACCCTGGGATCATGACCTGAGCCGAAAGCAGAGGCTTTAACCCACTGAGCCACCCAGGCGCCCCACTTTTTGGTATTTTTGAATATGCATGTCTAAATATGCAAGTACTTTTATCATTTTCCACTCATTTGTTTGTAAACTGTGATAAGATCAACTAGACATACCTGGAAGGGTTTATTTCTGGACTTTATTCCATTCCATTGCTGTATAAGGCTACTCTTTCAACAATACCACACTGTCTTGATTATATGCTTCATACTACGTTTTATAATTAAGTCCTTAAACCAGGAAGGAGGAGTGTTCTAATTTTTTTCAAAAAATGCTTTGAATATTTTGCTTTGTCTTTTCATACTAACTTGTCAGCTTGTCAATTTATATAGAAAATTCTGCTGGGAGTTTTATTGGGCTTGTGAATATACAGATCAGTTATGAAGAAATGACATCTTTATTATACTGAGTGTTCCAATTAATGTTACTGAATTTCTATTATTGATATGATTGAGATATTCTTTCTTTTAGTAAGTGTTTAGCTGTTTTTAGCCACTCAAATCTTGCACGTTTGTCGGATTTATACACAAGTATTTATACAAGTTTGAAGTTCTAAATGGACCATCAACATTCTCTAATGGTTTATTGCCAGTATGCAGACATTGATTTCTATACATTCATCTTCTGTCTCACAACCTTGCTAAAACTTCAGTCTTTCAAATCTTCTACCACCTAATCATCTCATGAGTGAACATAGTATATTTTATTTCTCTCTTTCCAGTGTGTTCCTATTTCCATCTCTTGCTGAATGCTGAATACAATACAATGCTTAATACAGTGGTGATAGCGGGCATGCTTGTCTTGTTCCTACCTTAGGGGGAAATAAATTAGTCTTTCATCATTAAATATAATGCTAGCTGTGGCATCTTTATCAGGTTCAGATAGTTTTGCTCAATTCCTGGTTTGTTGTGTTGCACAAAGAGTGATATTTTGATATGTTGTGTTCTTCATTTTTATTCAATTTAAAGCATGTTTTGATTTTCCTGTGACTTTCTCCTTTGACTCATGGATTGAGTGTCTTGTGTAATTTTCAAATATTTTGGGCTTTTTTACATATCTTTGTTTTCTACATTCATTTCATTGTGATCTGACCTTATACTCTGCACGATTTCAATTAAAATTTTTTTATTTTTTATTTTTTTAAAGATTTTATTTATTTATTTGACAGAGATCACAAGTAGGCAGAGAGGCAGGCAGAGAGAGAGAAAGAGAGAGGGAAGCAGGCTTCCTGCTGAGCAGAGAACCCAATGTGGGGCTTGATCCCAGGACCCTGAGATCATGACCTGAGCCGAAGGCAGCGGCTTAACCCACTGAGCCACCCAGGCGCCCCGATTAAAATTTTTTTAAACTACCGTATCTTGTAGAATATGGTGTTGGAGAATGTTCCACATGTACCTCAATAGAGTAAATATTTTGCTGCCCTTCAGTGGTTCTTTCTTCCAAGAGTCAAATCCCTTCCAGAGTCTCCCTGCTTTTGGTCACTCTTCACAGCCTTACACACTATTTTTAAAATACGTTTTGTCCAGAGTTTACCATTCTTACTTGGGAGAGGGTTAGTCTTTTACAATTTGCTCTACCAGTTCCTGTAGCTGGAACTCTTAGACGTCTTGTAATACATGATAAAACTTATTTTTTTTAATTTCTTATTTTTTTTAACATATAATGTATTATTAGCCCCAGGGGTACAGGTCTGTGAATCGCCAGGTTTACACACTTCACAGCACTCACCATAGCACATACCCTCCCCAACCTCCATAACCCAACCACCCTCTCCCTCCCCTCTCCCCTCAGCAACCCTCAGTCTGTTTGGTGAGAATGAGTTTCTTATGGTTTGTCTCCCTCCTGGTCCCATCTTGTTTCATTTTTTCCTTCCCTACCCACCAAAACTCGCCCGTTGCCTCTCAATTCTTCATATCAGGGAGATCATATGACAACTGTCTTTCTCTGATGGACTTATTTCACTCACATAATAATACTTTCTAACTATCCACGTTGTCGCAAATGGCAAGATTTCATTTCTTTTGATGGCTATGTAGTTAGTATTCCATTGTATATACACACAACTTCTTTATCCACTCATCTGTTGATGGACATCTAGGTTCTTTCCATACTTTGGCTATTGTGAACATTGCTGCTATAGACATTCGGGTCACGTGCCCCTTCAGATGACTACATTTGTATCTTTAGGATAAATACCCAGTAGTACGATTGCTGGGTCATAGGGTAGCTCTATTTTCAACTTTCTGAGGAACCTCCATGCTGTTTTCCAGAGTGGTTGCACTCCCAGCTTGCTTTCCCACCAACTGTGTAGGAGGGTTCCCCTTTCTCCGCATCCTCGCCAGCATCTGTCATTTACTGACTTGTTAATTTTAGCCATTCTGACTGGTGTGAGGCGGTATCTCATTGTGGTCTTGATTTGTATTTCCCTGATGCCGAGTGATGTGGAGCACCTTTTCATGTGTCTGTTGGCCATCTGGATGTCTTCTTTGCAGAAATGTCTGTTCATGTCCTCTGCCCATTTCTTGACTGGATTATTTGTTCTTTGAGTGTTGAGTTTGATAAGTTCTTTATAGATTTTGGATACCAGCCCTTTGATAATTTCGTTTGCAAATATCTTCTCCCATTCTGCCAGTTGCCTTTTGGTTTTGTTGACTGTTTCCTCTGCTGTGCAAAAGCTTTTGATCTTGATGAAGTCCCAATAGTTCATTTTTGCCCTTGCTTCCCTTGCCTTTGGCAATGTTTCTAGGAAGAAGCTGCCATGGCTGAGGTCAAAGAGGTTGCTGCCTGTGTTCTCCTCAAGGATTTTGATGGATTCCTTTCTCACATTGAGGCCCTTCATCCATTTTGAGTCTATTTTTGTGTGTGGTGCGAAGAAACGGTCCAGTTTCATTTTTCTGCATGTGGCTGTCCAATTTTCCCAGCAACATTTGTTGAAGAGACTGTCTTCTTTCCATTGGACATTCTTTCCTGCTTTATCGAAGATTAGTTGACCATAGAGTTGAGGGTCCATTTCTGGGCTCTCTATTCTGTTCCACTGACCTATGTGTCTGTTTTTGTGCCAGTACCATACTGTCTTGATGATGACAGCTTTATAATAGAGCTTGAAGTCTGGAATTGTGATGCCACCAACTTTGGTTTCATTTTCAACATTCCTCTGGCTATTCAGGGTCTTTTCTGGTTCCATATAAATTTTAGGATTATTTGTTCCATTTCTTCAGAAAAAATTGATGGTATCTTGATAGGGATTGCATTAAATGTGTAGGTTGCTTTAGATGGCATAGACATCTTCACAATATTTTTTCTTCCAATCCTGAGCATGGAACATTTTTCCATTTCTTTGTGTCTTCCTCAATTTCTTTCATGAGTACTTTATAGTTTTCTGAGTACAGATTCTTTGCCACTTTGGTTAGGTTTATTCCTAGGAATCTTATGGTTTTGGGTACAATTGTAAATGGGATTGACTCCTTAATTTCTCTTTCTTCTGTTCTGTTGTTGGTGTATAGAAATGCAACTGATTTCTGTACATTGATTTTATATCCTGGCACTTTACTGAATTCCTGTTCAAGTTCTAGCAGATTTGGAGTGGAGTCCTTTGGGTTTTCCACATAAAGTATCGTATCATCTGCAAAGAGTGATAGTTTGACTTCTTCTTTGCCGACTTGGATGCCTTTAATTTCTTTTTGTTGTCTAATTGCTGAGGCTAGAAATTCTACTACTATGTTGAATAACAGTGGTGATAATGGACATCCCTGTCTTGTTCCTGACCTTAGCGGAAAAGTTCGGTTTTTCCTCCATTGAGAATGATATTCATGGTGGATGTCTGTGACGATACTGAGGTATGTACCCTCCATCCCTACAATTTGAAGAGTTTTGATCAAGAAAGGATGCTGTACCTTGTCAAATGCTTTTTCAGCATCTACTGAGAGTACCATACGGTTCTTATTCTTTTATTAATGTATCGTATCACACTGATTAATTTCGGATGTTGAACCAACCTTGCAGCCCTGGAAATCCCACCTGGTCGTGGTGAATAATGCTTTTAATGTACTGTTGGATCCTACTGGCTAGTATTTTGGTGAGAATTTTCACATCCATGTTCATCAGGGATATTGGGTATGTAATTGTCTTTTATGATGCAGTCTTTGGTTTTGGTATCAAGGTAATGCTGGCCTCAAAAAATAAAGCTGGAAACTTTCCTTCCATTTCTATTTTTTGGAACAGATTTAGAAGAATAGTTATTAATTCTTCTTTAAATGTCTGGCAGAATTCCCCTGGGAAGCCACCTGGCCCTGGGCCCTTTTTTGCTGGGAGCTTTTTGATGATTGCTTCAATCTCCTCACTGGTTATGGGTCTGTTCAGGTTTTATATTTCTTCCTGGTTCAGTTGTGGTAGTTTAAATGTCTGTAGGAATGCATCCATTTCTTCCAGATTGTCAAATTGGCTGGTGTATAGTTGCTCATAATATGTTCTTATAATTGTTTGTATTTCTTTGGTGTTGGTTGTGATCTCTCCTCTTTCATTCATTTTATTTATTTGGATCCTTTCTCTTTTCTTTTTGATAAGTCCGGCCAAGGGTTTATCAATCTTATTAATTCTTTCAAAGAACCAGCTCCTAGTTTTGTTGATTTGTTCTATTGTGTTTTTTTTTGTTTCTATTTCATTGATGTCTGCTCTTATCTTTATTATTTCTCTTCTCTTGCTGGGTTTAGGCTTTCTCTGTTGTTCTTTCCCCAGCTCCTTCAGGTGTAGGGGTAGGTTGTGTATTTGAGACCTTTCTTGTTTCTTGAGAAAGGCTTGTATTGCTATGTATTTTCCTCTCAGGACTGCCTTTGCTGTGTCCCACAGATTTTGAACGATTGTGTTTTCATTATCATTTGTTTCCATGAATTTTTTCAATTCTTCTTTAATTTCCTGGTTGACCCATTCATTCTTTAGACTCCATGTATTTGGGTTCTTTCCAAATTTCCTCTTGTGACGGAGTTTCTAGCTTCAGAGCATTGCGGTCTGAAAATATGCAGGGAATTATCCCAATCTTTTGATACCAGTTGACACCTGATTTGTGACCCAGGATGTGATCTATTCTGGAGAATGTTCCATGTGCCCTAGAGAAGAATGTGTATTCTGTTGCTTTGGGATGGAATGTTCTGAATATATCTGTGATGTCCATCTGGTTCAGTGTGTCATTTAAGGCCTTTATTTCCTTGTTGATCTTTTGCTTGGATGATCTGTCCATTTCAGTGAGGGGGGTGTTAAAGTCCTCTACTATTATTTTATTATTGTCGATGTGTTTCTTTGATTTTGTTATTAATTGGTTTATATAGTTGGCTGCTCCCATGTTAGGAGCATAGATATTTAAAATTATTAGATCTTCTTGTTGGACAGACCATTTGAGTATGATACAGTGTCCTTCCTCATCTCTTAGTATAGTCTTTGGCTTAAAATCTAATTGATCTGATATAAGGATTGCCACCCCAACTTTCTTTTGATGTCCATTAGCATAGTAAATTGTTTTCCACCCCCTCCCTTTAAATCTGGAGGTGTCTTTGGATCTAAAATGAGTTTCTTGTAGAAAGCATATTGATGGGTTTTGGATAAAACTTATTTTTAAGCCACTGTATGCTCTTTTGATGTTTCCAAAGAAGAAAATCCTAAGTCATGCATACACATAAGAGTTCACAATGTATTAATTAGAATGCCAAAACATGTAGGGGAAGGGCTGGGGAGTTCTATAAACAGAACTACTTTTGAGTCACCTGGACCTAAATTAAACTAAATTAGGGGCTCCTGGGTGACTCAGTTGGTTAAGCATCTGACTCCTGATTTTGGCTCAGGTTGTGATCCTGTGGGTGGTGAAAGTGAACCCTGCCTCAGGTTCCCTGCTCAGCGGAAGTCTGCTAGAGATATTCTCTCTCTCCCTCTCAAATAAATAAATAAATCTTTTAAAAAATTAAATGAGAAGCCAATTTAATGGGAGGAGCAAGCACATGTGGCTGTTTTGTTTACTGGTAGGTATTTACCAAGTGTTTCCAAAATATTTATAAATGAAGAAGGAAAGAAATGAAAACATTACCTTTACACTCAGGAGGGTGACTACTCCATACACCATCGCCAGTACAAATAAGACGACTCTCTCCAACAAGTGAATATTCATCTGGTCCATTTGAAGGATTACAACTGTAAGTTACCACTTCATTATATTCAAATTCATCCTTCTCACTACCGGTATATTTTCCATTTGGTATTTTTCCAGGTGGTGGACACATTATCCCTTAGAAAGTGGAAAAAAGAAAGAGAGGATACGAAAAGCAAAAGGAAAGGAAAAGATTACAATAGCGTTAGCGAAGACCTATGAACTGCCTTCAATAAATTCATTAACATATGATTTCTACAAGCTAGGTGTAACTCCAATATTCATTTAGAAAAAGGTTTCTGTGAGAAAATATATTATCCTAAATTCAGACCAGTAAGGTAGATGTGAACTTTAATAGAACTCATTTTCTTAAGTACCTATATAAGATACCTATGAAATACCTATGTTTACCTGGAAAGCCATTTTAAGTTCTCATTGTAAGAGATGCTGACAATTTATAAATAAAATCTTTTTAAAAAGAGAAATGCTGAGAATTTAATGAGAAAATATGCTTGTGACTAAAAATAAAACTAAGGGCTGAGAAATGCTTTATAATTTATAAATATACTTGACAGTTGAACAACAAAGGGGTTAGAAGAACTGATCCTCTGCATAGTGGAAACTCCTCATGTATCTTTTGACTCCCCCAAAGCTTAACTACTAATGGCCTACTATTGACTACAAACTTTATCAAGAACATAAAGAGATGATTAACACACACTGTGTATACGTACTACATACTGTATTCATACAATAAAATAAGCTAGAGAAAAGAAAATATTAAGAAAATCATAATGAAAATACATTTATAATACCATACACTTAAAAAAAAACACACATGTTAAGTGGACTCAATTAAACACATTTAAAATTAATTTAACACAATTAAAATATGTGTTGTTGAAGGATCAACTGTATATCCATTCACTGAATCGGTAGTTTACAGTATCAAGATACTATTGTCTGTTTTCACTTTCATCCTAATGAGTCTACGGTGAAATTATCCAAATATGTATAAATTGTGTGAGAGCACAATAGACTGAATCCACACATCTTCCTTTATGCCAGATTTTGAAGAGATTTGCCAAGTTGTGAAATAATGCCACTACTCTCTTTCCTTTGGAAAATAATGTTTTACAAAAAAATAAAATATGTGGCATATATTGACATGCATTGAGCTTACAGTTCTTAAAAGTGAATTAATAAATATTTATTTTAAAAACTTCTTTTATTTCCAATATAATGACTACCAACACACCTAACCACATAAAGCAAAGTGCACTGTGGTGTCTAATTTTAAAGCATAAAGGAATCCTAACAACAAAATTTTAAGAACTAGTGCTCTAGATTCTAACGAAAGACTATACTTACTTATACATAGTGGGGGATCACCACTCCACGTCACTTTTCTTTCATCATCAATAGAAATTTGACAATACAGAATTCTTTCTCCAACTAGCCGATAACTGAATGAGAAAAGAAAAAGTTATTGGATTCTTTAGCAGTTAACAAGATGTATATAATAATGAAAAAAAATTTGATTGTTTGGTTGTTTCTTATGCTATAGTAGTTTGCTGAAGATGTTCCTTAAGTGACATATAATGAGAATGCTGACCATATCTGTAATTTAACCAAAGAGTTTCTGCTTTAAATATACATTGGCCTAGATGAAAGATGTCCAAATAAGTCTGTTCTATCTCTCAGTCTGGCCACTTTCCGATCTCCAGCAATCACCTTACACATTCATTTCTATGCCTATGCTCCTGACTTTTTTTTTGTTTAAGATTTTATTTATTTATTTGAGAGAGAGAGACGGAGCACAAGCAGAGGAGAGATGCAGAGGGAGAAACAGACTCCCTGCTGATTTAGGACTTGACTAGGGGAATTAAACACAGATTTGAGCACGCAGAAGAAAAGAACCGGCAAACTGGAAACTACTGAGCAGAAAGAGAAAAGACTAAAGAAAAGTATACAAGCAAAGGGACTACTGGGACACCAATAAACAGAACAAGGTATACACTGTTAAGACTCCCAGAAGAAGATAGAAAGGGCACAGACAGTATTTGAAGAAATAATGGCTGGAAACCCAAATTTGATGCCAGATATGAATATAAATATCTAAAATGCTCCAAAATTCCAAGTAAGATGAAAAGATGAATTCAAAGAGACCCACACTAAGACACATAATAATCAAACTTTCAAAAGACCAAGAGAGAAAATCTTGAAAGCTTGAAGACAGAAGCGAATCATCACCTACAAGGGATCCTAAATAAGATTATCAGCAGATTTCACACCTGAAACTTGGAGGCCAGAAAACAGTGGGCTGACTGAATATTCAAGGTGTTAAAAGAAAAAAAAAAACTGGCAAACAAAATTCCTCTATCCAACAAAACTATCCTTTGAAAGTGAGGGAAAAATTAAGATTTCCCCAGTAGAGAAAAAATCTGAGGAGTTTGTGACCATTAGACTTAACTTGCAAGAAATGTACAAGGGGGTGTGCAAGGTCAAATGAATGGACACTAGAAAGTAACTTGAAGCTGTATGCGTAAATAAGGATCTCACTAAAGGCAAATACCTGAGTAATTATAAAAGCTAATATTATTGTGACAATGGCTTATAAGTAAAATTTTTGTTTTCTATGTGATTTAAGACAGTAATCTTTTAGAAGAAAATAGATTATTAGTGTAGAAGCTAATATTACAATTAAGTATAGAGATCAGTATGACATCAATAACCAAAAGGGGTGGGGATGAAGCTGTAAATGAACAGTTTTTGTAATTTACTGAAATTCAAACTGGAGTGCTAGGCCTCTAGAATGTTAACTGTAGTCCCCATGGGAACTACAAACAAAACAGCTATAGAATATACACAAAAGGAAATGAGAGAGGAATTTAAGCATAACACTACAAAAATCAACTACACACATAATAAAACAACAATACAGGAAATGAGGAACATAAAAAGCTATAAGGAATATAGAAAAAAATAGCACAATTTCAGAAGTGTTTCCTTGTCACTAATTACTTTAAGTGTAAATGGATTAAGCTCTCCAAGCAAAAGACAGAGATCAGCAGAATGGAAAGAAACACGTTATCCAACTATACAACATCTACCAGAGCCTCACTTAAGCTTCAAAGACACATACGGGTTGAAACTGAAAGGATGGAAAAAGATATTCCACACGAATAGTAACCAAAAGAGAGCAGGGGTGGCTGTACTTCAGATATAATAGACTTTAAATTAAAAAACGATTACAGGAAACAAAGGAGGACATTACATTAGTAAAGACTCAAAGAATACTCAAAGAATATAACAATTACGAACATTTATATATGCCATGACATAAATAAATATGAATCAAAAACAGAATTAAGGGGGGACTACACATTTCTCATATAGGTATTTCTATACTAATAGTTGAAGACCTCAATACCCAACTCACAAGAATGGAAAGACAACTAGAAAGAAGATAAGGAAAACAGAGGACTTCAAGAACGTAATAAACCAACAAGATGACACAGACAATATATAGAGCATTCTACCCAACAACAACAAAATACACATTCCTTTTAATTGCATATGGGTCACCTCCCAGGACAGTCATAAGCTAGGCCATAAAATAATAATATATATTATTATATTATAACATGATGAATTATACAATGAATAGTTAATAAGATAATTATGTTAGGCCACAAATTAATATTAATTAATCAGTAGATTTTAAAAGATAGATATCATATCTGGCCACGATGAGATGAAGTGAGAAACCAATATTAAAAGGAAAACCAGAAAATTCACAAAATTGTGAAAAATAAACAACACGCTTTTAAACAACCAGTGGATCAAAGAAGAAATCAAAGGGAAATGAGAAGATACTTTCAGGTGAATGAAAATGAAAACACAGCTTACCAAAACTTATGGGATGCAGTGAAAGCAGTGCTAAGGGGGATATTTATGACCATAAAGGCTTACTTTAAAAAATGAAAGATCTGAAATCAACAACCAAACATTACAACTAAAGGTATTAGAAAAGAAAAACTAAACCAAGGTAGCAGAAGACGTAAATGCTGAAGACTAGATAGGAGATAAATAAAATAGATGAGAAAAACAATACAGAAAATCAACAAAACCAAAAGTTGGTTTTGTGAAGATCAACTGAATTCACAAACCTTTATTTTTTTTATTTTATTTTTTTTAAAGATTTTGTTTATTTATTTGTCAGAGAGAGAGAGAGAGAGAGAGCAAGCACAGGCAGACAGAGTGGCAGGCAGAGGCAGAGGGAGAAGCAGGCTCCCTGCCGAGCAAGGAGCCCGATGCGGGCCTCGATCCCAGGACGCTGGGATCATGACCCGAGCCGAAGGCAGCTGCTTAACCAACTGAGCCACCCAGGCATCCCTGAATTCACAAACCTTTAGATAGATGGACTAAGAAAGAGAGAGGGAAGACTCAATTCATTGAAATCCAAAATTTAAGTGGGAAGGTTCCTATCAACTCTACAGAAATACAAAATATGATCAAATATGATAAAAATATAATACACTCTGAACAATTTTATGCCAGCAAATTGGGCAACCTAGATAAATAGACAAATCCCTGGAAAGACAAAGCCTACCAAAACTAAACCATAAAGGAACAGAAAATATGAATAGACTTATAACTAGGAAGGAGATTGAATCATCAATCAAAATTCTCCCAATAAAAAGAAGCCCTAGACCTTATTGTTTCATGGATGAATTCCACCAAACATTTATGAAGAACTAAACCTATTCTTCTCAAACTTTTCCAAAAAATTCAAGAGGAAGTCTTTCAAATTCATTATGAGATCAGCATCAACATGATACCAAAACTAGACAAAGGCACCACAAAGAAATAAAGCTACAGACCAGTATCTCTTATGCACAATGATGCATATACCATCAAAAATTACTAAACAACAAAATTCTGCAGCATATTATATACCATGAACAAGCAAGATTTATTCTTGGGATACAAGGATATTTCAACATGAAAAATGATCAGTGCCATATGCCACATCAGCAGAATGGACACAAACCACATCATCACTTCAAGTGATGCGAAAAAGCATTTGACAGAATTCAACACTCTTTCATGATAAATATACTCAATGAAGTAGGAAGACAAGAAAACTATCTTAAGATACTAAAAGCCATTCATAAGAAACCCACAGCAAATATCATACTCAATGGTGAAAAGCTGAAGGCTGAAAGCTTTTCCTCTAAGATGAGGAGTAAATCAAGGATGCCTGCTTTTACTAGTTCTATTCAACACAGTACTGGAAATTCAAGCCATAGCAGTTAGACAAGAAAAAGAAATAAGACATCCAAAACATCCAAACTGGAAAGGAAGAAGTAAAATTATCAGTTTACAGATGATGCAATCTTCTCTATAGAAAACCCTAAAGATTCCACCAGAACAAGGGTGTTAGTAGCATTAATAAATGAATTCAGCAAAGTAGCAGGATACAAAATCAATATTTAAAAAATCAGATGCAGGGCACCTGGGTGACTCAGTTGTTCAGCTCTTGATTTGGGCTCAGGTCATGATCTCAGGGTTGTGAGATCAAGCCCTGCTTCCAGCTCTCTGCTACAAGTGGAGCCTGCTTAACATTCTCTCCCTCTCTTTCTGCCCCTTACCCCTGACCCCCGGCACTCACATGCACATGCACTCTCTTTCACTCGATCACTCAAAAAGAAAAGAAAAGAAAAGAAAAGAAAAGAAAAGAAAAGAAAAGAGAAGAAAGGAAAAGAAAAGGAAAAGATACATTTCCATATTGTCCTCTAGGTGAACGCTTCATAAATGCCCAGTATCCCCAATATATATTATTAAAAGAGGCCTACAGAACTGAGGTTTTATCCTTAAGTGCTCCGTATCTCTTTTTGAAATACTTAAACTTCATAGTAGTCACAAAAATCCAACTAACAAATCCTCATCAACATAATGGTCCAGGCTAACCAGGTGAATTCTGACATGGTAACACCTTAGAATTATCTCAATGCAAGAATATCTATAGTTGGCGATTCGACCTCCCATTTCTGTAAGTTGGTCATTTTAAATAGGGTGCACTTTGTTGTCAAAAATGAAGTCATCAGGGGCACCTGGGTGGCTCAGTGGGTTAAAGCCTCTACCTTTGGCTCAGGTCATGATCCCAGGGTCCTGGGATCAAGCCCCGCACTGGGCTCTCCGCTCAGCAGGGAGCCTGCTTTCCCCCACCTTTCTCTCTGCCTGCTTGTGATCTCTGGCAAATAAATAAATACAATCTTTAAAAAAAAAAGAAGCCACTTTAAAAAAAATAAAGTCATTATTGTTAATGCTTACAGTATGTTTATAGTAAATATAGTAAGTATTATAGAATTTTCCTTTTCTTCAATTTGTATTTCTTTCTACTAATTACACATCTTTTCAGTTTCAATAAAAAGCCCGAGACTTGTTAGGCTATAAGTATGACTTGTGACATAAAACAAAAATTAAGTCAACTTTATGGGAATGCTTAAGAGAAGCAGAACAAAAAAAATGGAATTAGTAGTATTTATCTTATTTCCAATAGGGAACAACTTACCCCTCATTACAAGAATAGTGAACCTGTGAACCAAAGGATAAAGATCCATTTACAATGACTACCCGGCCATTTGTGGGTTCTCCTGGATGCTGACATTGTTTTTCTAAAAGAAAATTTATAAATTCATTGTTTCACAGTGAATTCAAAACATTTCAAAAGATTTAAATGCTTAAATGTTTAAATTCGCCTATTTCATAGCAATTTCAAAACATTTAAATTAAAATCAAAATATTACACTGCTCTTCTGAATTCAGGAGAGTGTTACTTTCTTTCTTTGACTATTGTAAGGCCAAACTTAATATTCACATTTAACCAGGTAACCAACTGCCAAAAAAGATTCACTGGGGATTTTTCAAAACCTGAAAAGCTACATTGCTATCTAAAACCTATATTCACATGAGAAAACAATCATTGCGCTAGTGCAGTATGCAACCTAAAATATGTGAAATCTCTAGAACAAAAAACAAAACAAAACTTTTGTACCCTTACCTGTACAAGCCTCCTTGAGAGGTGTCCACGTGTTATTAGTCTGACAAATGGAAAACATGGGAAGAGAAGGTCTAATAGGCTTGTATCCTGGTCGACAAACAAAGTATACTACGTCCCCAGGATTATAACTGGATTTAGTATCATTTGGCTTCATAAACTCGAATCTTGGAGGAGGATCACAGGCATCTAGGGATAAGAGAATGAGAATGTGAAAATGAAGTATTTTCTCTCTTTCGCCAACCAGGGACGATGATGTCCCAGCAGATAGGTAATACAGAATAAATGGAAAGATCCTTGGCAAGATTTTAAATGATTCTCCCAAGCTTTTAACCAAGTGGTGATAGTAGTTGAGGCTGTGCCTTGCTTATTTTCAGTAACGTCCTACTGAGTGATGAATTTTCTTTCAACAATCAAATGAAGAAACAAAATGAATGGTTTAGGTCTAACAATATATGTAGATAAACATCCTTTCCCACTTTTTTCTAAATTCATGTCAAAACTCGCCTCTCCTTTAAGAAGCCTTCTATAGGACATAGCACCCTGCTCCAATGACTCTCCCATAGTCTGAAACATACTAATGATAACCCGTCACTTCAGGCTCAGTCTCCTTGTTGCAGAAGGCAAGTATCTAGAGGCCAGAGATCACAGGTCTTCTTTTCCTACTCACTCAGTATCCAGTGGGTACTTCAGAAATGCTAGAGTATCAAGTGATTATTAAATAAGCATTGTGTAGTTCACAGATCAAGATAAATATGCACAAACTCTTCCATGTTAAGACTTCATTTCATGCTTCATATAAGTGAACTGAGCTTCTCACAAGTGAACAGATGCCACTCAAATATCAAAATTTACCATGAATATCCTTACAAGAAAAAAATGTTGCTTTGGGGGCACTATTTTAAATATAATTTCATCTTCCTCCACTCATTAATGGATCCCACATTCCTTCAGCTAGAAATTCTATATAATTCCATTCTAGATACCAATCCATTACATCATTAGAAATCATGGAACCACCAAGAAAGAATTAAGCAACAGCATGCCCCTGATTAAATAATACAAGTAGTCCTTGCTTTATGCAATTTCAGTAACTATTCTGAAAGCAGATAAAGAAGACAGAATTCTAGGGACACCTGGGTGGCTCAGTGGGTTAAAGCCTCTGCCTTCGGCTCAGGTCATGATCCCAGGGTCCTGAGATAGAGCCCCACAACGGGCTCTCTGCTCAGCAGGGAGCCTGCTTCCTCGTCTCTCTCTGCCTACCTCTGTGCCTACTTGTGATCTCTGTCTGTCAAATAAATAAATAAAATCATAAAAAAAAAACAAACAAATACCTAGAGTTTAAAAAAAAAAGAAAAAGACGACAGAATTCCAAATATGACTTTCATATAGAGTAATCTGTTTGGGAAAAGAAATGTCAATGAGATGGTTTATCCATCCAACTAATTTGAAGTATTTCTCTTCCTCGCATGTGCAGTTATATGACATGCTTTCAAAAATATGCAGAGTTTACAACTTGCTCTGTAAGCTTTACACACTATAATAACTGTGCCCAATATTACAATATTTCACAATAAGCTTACTTCTGTTCCTCAGGACACTGATGTTTTTTATCCTCTGGCTACCCTTCCTTCTCTGCCCAGTTGGATAATGTGACGCTCCTAATGGGTTGCTGGGAGAACCCTGGTTACTCCATTCTGCACATCCCTGTGAGGGAATGTGCACACTCCCGTGACCTCATTACCATTGACAAGAGCTGTCCTAAAACCTGGTCTCCATGCTTGACCTCTAGCCCAGGGGCCGACTGATTATACTCAACTGCCTCCAACATACCCCACATGCTATCCATACAACATTTAAAAAAAAATTTTTTTTAAAGATTTTATTTATTTATTTTGGACACAGAGAGAGACAGCACGAGAGGGAACACAGGGAAGGGGAGCGGGAGAGGGAGAAGCACCTGGATGCAGGGCTTGATCCCAGGATCCTGGGATCATGAACTGAGCAGAGGCAGATGCTTAATGACTGAGCCATCCAGGCACCCCATCCATATAACATTTTGAAGCCAAAGTGTAGACTCTGGATTATTCACACTCACACAGGTCCAGCAAACAAGACAGAGGAGTTCTTAAATTTTTAATTCCTCAATAATTAACACGCAGTATTATATTAGTTTTCAGGTGCACCATATAGAGATTCAACAATTCTATATATTACTCAGTAATCATCACAATAAATGTGCTTTTAATCCCCTTCACCTATTTCACTCATTCCTTCCCTTACCCCCACCTCCCCTCTGGTAATCAGCAGTTTGTTCTCTAAATTTAAGGGTCTGTTTTCTAGTTTATCTCTTTATTCTTTGTTCATTTGTTTTGTTTCTTAGATTCCATATATGGGGGTGCCTGGGTGGCTCAGTAGGTTAAGCGTCTGACTCTTTTTTTTTTTTTTTTTTTTTAAAGATTTTTTTTTTTTTTTTTTATTTGACAGACAGAGATCACAAGCAGGCAGAGAGGCAGGCAGAGAGAGAGAGGAAAGCAGGCTCCCCGCTGAGCAGAAAGCCTGATGTGGGACTCGATCCCAGGACCCTGGGATCATGACCTGAGCTGAAGGCAGAGGCTCTAACCCACTGAGCCACCCAGGTGCCCCAAGCGTCTGACTCTTGATTTCAGCTCAGGGCATGAACTCAGGGTCATGAGATCAATCCTCGCATCAGGCTCTGTGCTGAGTGTGGAAGCTGCTTGAGATTCTCAATCCCTCTCCCTCTGCCCAAACCCTGCACTGATGCTCTCTCTCTTAAAAAAAAAAAAAAAAAAAAAAAAAAAATCCATTATGTGCATGAAATCATATGGCATTTGCCTTTCTCTTACTGACTTATTTCATTTGGCATTATACCCTTTAGATCCATCCATGCTGCCGCAAATAGCAAGATTCCATTCTTTTTCATAGCTAAGTAACAGTCCACTGTGTGTGTGTGTGTGTATAAACATATACACATCACACCTTCTTTTACCCATTCATCTATGGATAGGCCCTTGGATTGCTTCCATTTTTGGCTACTGTAAATAATGCTGCCATAAAAACAGGGGTACATATACCTCATCAAATTAGTGTTTTCACATTCTTAGGGTAAATACTCAGTAATGACATTACTGGATCATGTGGTAATTCTATTTTTAAATTTCTAAGGAACCTCCATGTTTTCCGCAATGGCTGTACTAGTTTGAATTCCAACCAACAGTGGAGGAGGAGGCATTTATCCACATCTTTATCCTTTTGATTTTGCCCATTCTGCCAAGTGTGAGATGATTTGCATTTCCCTAATGATCAGTAATACTGATCAACCTTTGCATGAGTCTCTTGGCCATCTGTCTCCCTTCTATGGAAAACTGTCCATGTCTCCTGTCCATTTTAAATAGATTATCTGGGTTTTTTTGTTTTTGTTTTGTTGATGTTAAGTTGACAATTCAAATGCCCATTCCATCTCTCTAATTCTACCTTTCCTTCCAGTTCAAACCACTGCCATTTCTTCTCTAGAGTGCTACCAGTGTTTCTGAACAGGCGCTCTTAGCTACCTCGCCACCTTTCATTCATTTCATGCCAGAGTCATGATGATAGGACACAGTGACCAAAGCTCATCCAAGTTTGATACTTTTCAATGACTTCCCAATGCCCTCATGACAATGTCTAGGGCTCCCTATCATGGCCAGCAGTCTTGTAAAGCCCGTCATTACCGGGATTCTGCTCACTCTTGCATCCTATTCTCAAGCCCTATTCAATTCCTGGCAGTGTCCATTAAATGACCTCAATTATGTCAGCATTCCGGACCTCCCTGCCTCAATTAACTTCAGCTTTGACCAGAGACCCCACACTCCTCCCACCCTCTCACCCACTCATGCTTCAGTTTCAGCTGACAGGCCACTTCTTGTGGCTCTTGACATGTGTCATCAAAAAACCGTGGTAAGTTTCCTCATGATCCACATTTACTTCGTCCACAAACTACCCCACAGTGGGACTCCTTATTGTCTGTGCTCTCTACCAGACTGTTACCTCTGAGGACTATGGGGGACACCTCACTGCACCTGTAACACCAACCGCCAGAGTTGAATGAGCGCCGCTGTCAGTTCCAGACACTATCTTAGACCAAAGCTCACATCCTTTTCTGCTCAGCCAACTTCTTTCAGAGATATCAACAAATCATAATTTTTTTGTTGTTTTACACCTGTCTTCAACTATTTTCATTGGTTGAATGATAGCTCTTTTCCTTAATCAGGGTATTTGATTTCTTTGATGTCAAAATATTTACGCTTTCTTGTTTTATTTTGGGCCCATTCTCCATTACTGCTATTATTAGAAACAGCATTTTAACATTACCAAAGGAGAACTCCAAATAATGGGGATTTTATTTTTTCCCAAGTACAGTAACTGAATACTTTATGTCTTTTTTCTTAAAACAATAGTGGTGATAGTATTAATAATTTTAGAAATAGCAAACGTTCAACACTACCTGTACTATTATTTTAAGTACAATTTAACTTGTCTTCATACTTATCCTACGGGTTGGGCACTATCGCCCCCGCCCCCCAAGATGGGCCACCTAAGGCACAATAGGTTAAGTCACTTGCCCAGGCCAACATCTCCAGTAGCCAGGCCGCCTGCTTCCACTACAGACACTACTTCTCACCACACTCACCTGAAACCCTCCCACGCTTACACCAACACCCTGCAATGCCATCCTCAAGAAATGGTCTTCTACCGAGTCTGGAGAAATTAAAGGAACCCTGGTTTAGATTTGCTGTGTGCTAAGTCAAACAAAAAGGCTCAAGTGCCCTGAAGGGACAGATAACAACATCAAGCCTGAATTTTAACGATGGGGATTGTTCATTCCTCACTATCCTGTTGCTTTTCACAGTGATTGGCTCTGTGTTCTAGTCCTTGGCCTTTCCCTTGCCTCCCTTGTCCTCCAGCTGCCACACCGGGCAGCTCCACGGTCCTTGGGAGCCCCCAGCCACGTCACAGCTCTAAGCCTCTGATCACACTGCTCCCCTCTGCTCTGAACATCTTTCCTTCCTGCTCAGCTGCAACCCCCACTCAACTCCTGTCTTCTTAT